AGCAGATAACTGGATGGTCCCCCTGCTCTTGTTCTCAAGCTAGGGCACAAGCCTGCAGATAAAGGGGGCAGGAGGGATCAAAGGAGGCCTTGCAGGAAAATGATGACAGCAGCACGAAAGGAAAGGGAGGAATGTGGCTCCAAGGGAAAAATCAACTCAAAACACGAAAAATCAATCTCTCGCTTGTCAACTGTCTCAACCTGTTATTAATCCAAGAAACACAGAAGCAGCTGGAACACAGAATCAGTTGGTAACTGCCCCCCTCAGTGTGCCCAATTTAGTTAGACACCTGTGCCATCACATCCCTTCCCATCCTTTAATTGCTAACAAGAAACCCTGATCTGGAAGTCCACCACTCACCCCCATCCTGGCCCTGGAGGGGCGCGTGGAGAACACGCATGCATGAGCTTCTGTCAGCAGAGGATACCTCGACAGCTCAAGGTCTGGGGGAAACTTTGTTTGGAGCCCGTAACAAGTCTCAGATGTCACTCTCTCGCTACCATGCCGGGGAAAGCGCAGCACCCAAGAGCTTGAGGGGCAGAGGGTCTGCTACAGCCCCCAAGTTAGCAGCGGGGAAGTACACCGATGTAGCCGGGCCTGGACAGGGTACAAAGCTGAGCTCTCAGCTCAGGCTAACTCCTCACGTCCACCACACCCTCACCCCTCCGTGCAGGAGGGCACAGCGCACAGCAGAGGCAGGGGACGCTACTCAGTGAGTGCCAGGGAGAGGGCGAGGCGACACCGAGTCCCCACTTTTCATTTCCAGGTCAGGTGAGGCAACTCGGGCGAGGTCTCCCAGGCAGTGGCGGCAGGACCGGGATGGGGACACTGGTCTGAGCGTAAAGCTGGGCTCTTTTTAGAACACCACACTGTCTCCGCTTCCCCTGTGTGGCATTTTACAGACTGCCCTGGGCCTTCCACGTACAGTATTTCACATAAGGAGCAATATACAACCAAACAAGTCTCATAAAAACAATGAAGAGATTCCAGAAGTCAGGTTTTCCTCAGCGAAGCCCCAGGCTAACCACACCCTGGTGAACGGTGTGGGGAGGGGAGACGGGCTCCTTGGCCATGAACCTTTCGTGTTCAATGGGGCTTCTCTCAGCAGATCGCTGTGTACCAGCAGAAGGGCGAATGGACCCCGTGAGCTGTTCCCCTGTGGTGAAATAAGTGGACCAATGAGGAAAATCTGCACAATTTGGAGCTAACGGAATCCTGAGCGGTCAGCAGCTTTGGGGATTACGGGGAAGCAGCTGGAACAAGAGCTATTTGGGGCTGGCTTGTTTTTCAGGTTAGTGAACATTGTACAATAAAACCAAATGCAGAACAGACACTGGTGTGGGTCTGAGGTAAACACGGAATCTACTGATGTCAGGGCGTGTTTTCCCACAAGGTCAGTTTAAACTGTAAATCAGTCTGCCCTGTGAGCTGCCACAGCCTGGGGCATTTGAAATAACAATCACAAAACCACAGGGCTCAGAGCTAAACGGGCCCACAAAAGGTCCAGGATGGGGCATTCAGGCTGGTAAAGAATGATTATTCTCACCTTACAGCTAAAGCATCCCAGAAAGGTTAGGTATCAGGCCCCAAGTCAGACAACTAAAACTGACAGAGGGGAGGCGGCCTCCTGCCTCTCACACAATACTATATCCACGTAGGCCACGTGGACCCAGCTCTGTGGTCCACTCAGCCCAGGGTGCTGGCTCTGACTGAAGTAACGATAACACAAAGACTCCCTGAGAAGCCTGTGCAAGATGCAACGTGATTTCATCTGTGTGATGTGTTTGACTTATTTAAAGGCTTCTCACATAGGGTGTTTCATTTCCCTTCCCTAACATGGATGCTCGATGGGTAGGGCAGCTGACAAGATGCTATTCTCACTGTTCCGCAGATGAGGACGCTGAACATCTTCAGGCCCAGGCCCTACCACCAGCACACAGTGAAACGCATGGATACTCTTCTCTCAGGGTTTCCAAAGAACACGGGCGTTCTTCCCCAGTCTGTCTCGGAGGGAAGGCTGCACCTGCCCAAGTCCTCTGACCTCCTGGCCCCCACTTCCAACCACGCAGTTAGCATGGCCTAACCGCCCAATTAGCCATGATTAAGGGCACAGTAAACCTTGAGAATCAGTCCTTAAGATCCCAATAAGTTAACAGACAATCCCCTGGACTACAAGGCAAGAGAAAGGCGATGACCTCTGCACCCTCGTCATGTCCACTTAGCATCACTGCTACAGCCTCTCGGCTGGCTCTCTCCTCCCAACCATTTCTCTGCAGGTCTCAGCCCGATGCCTGGTTAATCTTCCAAAAACGCCAGTGTGATCACTCCACTCTCCTGTTCCAAAATGCTCCCTAGCTCCCAGGGAGCACACCAAGGACTCATCTGCCTGACATTTAAGACCCTCCATGATCAGACCCAACTGTAACCTTATATTCTTCTAAAATAAATAATGATAATATGTGTAACAATAATAATAGTTACCATTTACTGGGTATTTGTGAAATGAGCCAGGCACTGGGCTAAGTGCCTTGTGTACGACGCAGACACTGTTAGCTGTCTACCAGTATCCACACTTCCCAGCTAAGAGAACCTAGATTTTATTCAGGTGGCCATGGGCCTGGCCCAGACAATGGGTCACGACTGGTCTAACCATGATTCTCAAAGTACAGTCCCGGAATAGCAGCATCATCAACTGCTGGGAACTTGTTAGAAATGCAAACTCTCAGGTCCCACCCCAGACCTACTGAATCAGAAACTCTGGGGGTGTGGCCCAGCAATCTGTGGGTTAACAAATCCTCTAGAGAATTCTGTTGTTCATTCAAGTTGTCAAGCCACTGGTCTAAACCAATCCTGACAATCCAGATCCCTACTTCCCACCTTGGGAGTGGCTTTGTGACTGACCCAGTTCTGCCTCATGAGACCAATATGAAAAGGGGGGGGAGGGATGTTCTGGGAAAGCTTTTACTTTTTTGCTAAAAAGGAAGAGAGGCGCACCCCCTGGACAACTCTTATAATATAAATCGCAACCTCCACCGTGTGCTAACTTTTACTTTCTATCTTCTTACCCAACTTTATTTTTTCTTCAAGCCACTTAGGGCCTCTTGACATATTACATATCCATTTATTTGTTTATTGTCTGTCACTTCCCACAAAGATGCACCCCAGAGGGAAGGGACTGTCCGTCTTGCTCACAACCATATCCCAATGCCTAACAGTGTCTGGCAAATTGTGAACACTTGATATGCTTATTGAGTGAATGGGGACAGCTGTCTCTGCTATTCTTTCTCTTTCCTACTGTGAGTGATGAATTGATGCCTGAAGCTATAGCAGCCACTTTGAGACCACGAAGCAAGAGAATCTGAGATAAACAGGCTCTGACATTGTTGAGCAACCAAACCAAAACCAGCAACTCCCAGCTCTGGGCCTCATTAGGTAAGAAAAATAAATCCCTGTTTGTTTTAGCCACAGTAGTCAGATTTTCTACGCCCAGGAGCCCCACACATTCCTAACTAGCAAATATTTAATCATTTAATCTTTGCAACAACAACCTAATTTATAGGAGGAAACAGAGTCTCAGAGTGGTTAAGTAATTTGACAAGATCACTTAAATTGTTAAGCTGTTTTTCTTGTCGGAAATGCCCTTCTTGCTGCCTAAATCCAATGAATCTTTCAGGCCCCACAGTGCAAACGTCTGGGTTGTAGTCCCTGGTCACCGCAGCCCACCAATAGCTATCTGTGATAAGCTTGGAGGGTCTGTATCACTTGTGTAGGAATTATAGGTTATTCATCTTCTTTTTCTAAGCAGACTGTTAACGCCTTGCAGATGGGCACCATATGACATTTTATATGTCCCATGCTCCCTTTCCTCACACACCTGCTGGCAACAATGTCATGATGAATTGCATGCCATTAGCTTCCTGAGCAACCCCAACCCAGACATTTAACTTCTCTGCTCTTTGGTCTTTTCACCTGAAATTCAGAGTATCAGCAGGGCAAGTTCCAGATTTGTAAGTCAGAATGAGCTTTGCCTATTATCACAGAGCTCAGGGATAACTAAGAAAGCAGTATCTAAGGTTGCTGGGCTCCTAGAACAAGACAGCACCAATCTGTCCATCAGCAACGTCTGCGACAAAGAGCCTAGTAGGGTACTGGGCGCAGCATCAAACAGTCCCGTCTCTCCCAGCATTCAAGCCTAGACACTCAAACCAGATGGTCCCGCCTGGCCTGGAAGTGGAGGGGCTTGGAAGAAAGAATCAGTCAGCTCCATGGAGAAAATCACCCTCCAGTCTAATGATGTAGCTATGGCACATAAAGAACAGCCTGCGATGATTCAAAGAGGACAGTAATTTACATTTTCCCAAAAAAGGCATGAAAAGCCCTTCCTGCTTTGGGGAAGGGGGAGCTAGGTTTTTTTTTTTAATGACATTCAAGGGGGCTTCCAGGAAAGATGAGCGCAGACAAGAAGTGCAGAGCTGAAGCCGCAAGAAAGGTGAGCATGGAGGAGTGGCTGGAAGAGGCACAGATGATGGGGAGCCAGGGTCCTCTGGCCCTTGGTGGGGCTGGGCTGCGTGAGCCGCTGTACGGCCCTCTGCCTGTCTTCAGACGGTGAGTGCTGCCCTCTGCTGGCCTGCCTGCAGAACACAGCCTGTCGGGCACCGGCAGAGGGGCCTCGGGCATCCTCAGACCCTGCCCAGGACCGCTTCTCCCCCAGCTTCACAGCAGGGTCTCTGTTTCCTTTTTGTTGGATTTGACTCACTTGCATATGTAGAAAGAGCCCCCCAAATTTTTTTTTCTTAGCTAGGAAAGGAGAAAAGGGCTTTACTTTTAAATTTCCTTTTAAATTTTAGATGGTCTAGAAGTCAGAATGGTAGAATTTTTGAGCTGAAATACTAAAAAATCATGCAGTTCTCACCAGGTTTTAAGCTGGTTTGCAGAGCAGTAGCTTTCCAAACCCCTGCCGCGCCCCCCTTCCTCCCTGCGGCTGAACGGGCGGCCGGCACTCACCTCAGACGTCCCTGCCCGGCAGCTCCGGGGCAGGCGGCTCTGCCACCCTGGCCCGTTTGCCGAGCTCCTCGCCAGGTGGCTCCTCCGCTGCTTCCAGCTTGCGTTTGGGGGAAGCTGGGCCACTGGGTGGGGGTCTTGGGCCTGTAGGGAAGCATGTCAAGGTGTCACACGGACTGTGTGGGTAGCCAGGAGGGCCAGCTTCTAGACCCCAAATCCCATGGGCTCCAGGCCAGAGTCCGACTGGGCCTGGGCACTCCCTCTGCCACCCTGCATCTGCCTCCTGAAGCAGGAATGAGCGGCGCCCTCACCCGTGCAGGCAGCCTGGCTGGGAAAACGAGAAAACCCCTGGAGTTCTTGCCAGTCTCCCCTTACTGATCTCATCCTGCAGCTGCAGGGAGGAGGTTAAGAAGGTGGCAGGGGGGCCGGCCCCGTGGCGGAGCGGTTAAGTGCGCGTGCTCTGCTGCTGGCGGCCCGGGTGTGGGTCCCGGGTGCGCACCGACACACCGCTTGTCAAGCCATGCTGTGGCGGCGTCCCATATAAAGTGGAGGAAGATGGGCACGATGTTAGCCCAGGGCCAGTCTTCCTCAGCAAAAAGAGGAGGATTGGCAGATGTTAGCTCAGAGCTGATCTTCCTCACAAAAAAAAAAAAAAAAATAAAGAAGGTGGCAGATATGTCTGCTTCTTTCTATTTCTTGCCACCATCTGGGCTGAGCTGCCATCTCCTGCCCGGACAACTGCAGTCGCCTCCTTTCTAGCCTCCCTGTACTCACGCTTGCCCACCCTGTCCCCTCCACAAGGCAGACAGAGTGTGCTTTAGCATAGATCAGATCATGCTCCGCCCTGCTGACCGCCGGTCAGTGCATTCTCAGTGCGCTGACAGGAGCCTGACCCTCCTCACCGACTGTCCTCTCCTGCACAAGGCTGCTCCCGCCACATCTCATCCTCATCTCCTTCCAGCTCCTCACTCGGGACATGCCGGCCACACTGGCTCCCCTTGGTCCCTTGAATGGGCTGAGCTCACTCCCATCGCTGCATCTTTCCTTGCTGTTCCCTTTGCCTGGAATGTTCTTCCCCAGTTCTTAGAAAGGCTGGCTCCTGCGCACTACTTGGGCCCCTGCTCAGACAGGCATTCCCTGCCCGCTCCAGTATAACCTAACCCGAAGTCACCGCCCTCCCCAGCCCCTTTCTTATGAGGTCCCTCAATCTTATTTTCCCCCAAGCGCACGTTATCTGCAACGCTCTTGCGTGGGCCCTTCGCTCTCTGTCTCCCCAGGTGGATGTAAGCTCCCTGGGAGCAAGGGCTGGTGCCGGCCTCTGTCCGCAGCCCTCAGGGACTGAAGTGCTGGTAGTTCTGCAGTGCCCTGGCGATGGGCACAGGCCAGGGAGGCCAGCTGCTACTCACCCGCGCTGCTCATGCTCCCCGCCTGGCTGGAGCTGGGCTCTGCCACTGGGTTGCTGAGGTCTTCCACACAGGAAGGGACAGAGGCCAGCAGACCTGGGGGGAGGGAGGGAGTAATCAGGATCTCACAGGACTGCAGAGGGCCGCAGGGCGGGTGAAAACAAGGCAGGGAGTGCTAGGCCGTGACACTGAGGTTCCATCTCTTCCCACCGGCCACAACGACTCAGAGAGGCCTGAGACAGCCCAGCCTGCACTGTCCTGTGCCCGGGAAGTCAAGTCCACTCAACAGCCCGGAAGACAGCGCTCGGTCTCCCTTCGCAAATATCTGGAAATCCCACCTATGCCCTCTGAGCCCAGCGGTGCTGTCCTTCCCTTCTGTGAGCTAGGGGACGGTGCTGGGGGCAGGGGCTCCTTACAGAGTCCCCGGTAGCGGGAGAACTGCTGGTAAATCTGCTTCATCCGCTCAATGTTGAGCCGGCTGGTCTCAGCATGGTTGACGATGGGCCGTGGGTAGTCCACACCAATGATGCACTTGGCTGCCTTCTGGACGGACTCTGGCGCATTCCAGGGCTCATAGATGTATCGAGAGGGAAACCCTTTCAATTTGGGTAGGTATCGCCTGAAACATACACCCCGACAAGCCATCAGCATGCTGGGAGCCTCCTTCAAAGGGCCAAGGGTCCCTCATGCCAGGAGGAGGCCACAGCGATCAGAAGCCGGAGAGCCTGCTCCGCGCCCTCACCTGACGTAGTCTCCGCTGGGGTCCGTGCGGCGGCCGAAGCCCACGGGGCAGTAGCAGTGGAAGAACTGCTGGAAAAAGGCGCTGCAGGACAGCCACATCCAGCTGCCTGCGTTCACGCTGAAATCCGCGTCCAGGAGCAGCTCGTCGAACACCTGGATGCGGGGGGCGGCAATCAGCGTCCGGGCGCCCACCTGCCGTGCCCGGTGGAGAAGGGAGCCAAAGCCCTCCCGCTGAGGGCAAGCCAAGGGGGATCTGCAGGGGATCTCTTGGACCCAGGGATCCCAGCCCAGCCCCCCGCCCAGAAGGGGGTGCCCTTGGCTGGGCCTGACGGGAGGGTACAGGCCAGCTTCCCGCCGAGTGCACTCACCCGGACCCCGCTCTCCCAGCTGACCCAGAGGTCCCCGCGGGTGAGGAAGCAGGCCACGGCATGTCGGGCCAGGTGGTGGATCCAGCCCTCCTGCCTCAGCTGGGTCATGATGGCGTCAATCCAAGGGAAGCCTGTCTTGCCCTCGGCCCACTTGGCCAGGGCCTCGGGGTTGCGGTCCCAGGGGATCTGGATGCAGATGGGGTTGCCCTCCATGCGGTCAAACCTGGGGTTGTTGGTGGCTGCTGTGTAGAAGAACTCTCGCCACAGGAGTTGCCCAAACAGGGAGAGGGGGGGCGTGCTGTTCCGCTTCACCTGGGGGGTAGCACGTAGATACACACGCTCGCCCAGCTCTCAGCATCAAGTCACTCGGGTCTCTCCCACAAAGGAATGTGGAGCTTCTTGGCTCTGAACCCCTTAGACACGTGGAGGGACTATCCCTAGAAGTGGCGCTGTGTACCCACAGACTGAACCCCCAGGCCCTGGCTCTGAGCAGTGAGAAGGGCTGCAGAGTCAGGCAGTGGAAAGGGACATCGCTATAGGACTCTGCCCTAGGAACCAAACTCCCCAAGACCGGGTCATGCTCCTTGTCCCCTAGGGTCCCTGTCTGGATCCACTTTCTAGAACCTCAAAGGGAGTTTTCCCATCAGCACGCACAAAAATGCTCAGGCGAAATCTTGATTAAATAAGTTATATGCAACAGCCTGGATCTGGGGCCATGAGGGACTTAAGAGATCAGACCTCCAAGCAGATGATTTTCCTAAAATCACAAGATTGCCCACTAAACTGGCAAAGCCACGCCATGCCACAAAATCCTGATCCTGGCAAGAACGGGAAACAACGTGAAACAACGCAGACGCAAGGAGGACCTGACGAACCTGAAGAGCTGGCTGTGCTGCCCTGTTTCCGTCTGGGGCAGGGGCATGCACACAGACTTACTTGTCCCTGTGGCACGGCCCCATATGCAGCCCCCCGAGTCATTTCCTCCTCATTGAGGGCAGCAGCCGCTCCTGGACGCCCCCTTGAAATGCTCTGGACATGGCCCCACAGAGGGCCGCTGTGCTCGTCAGCTTAGTTCTGGCTCCAGCCTCGCCCTCCCCACCTCCCACCCTGAGTGCCCCCCGCCGTGACCTCCAGCATCACACCCTGAGGTCAGCTCTTCTGCTCGGCCTGCTCTGCTCGATACCCTGGATTGTATTCTGAGTAGTGGTTCAGGTTACGCTCAGCTCTGCCCCCTCTCGGATGTAGACTCTTCCCCACCTCCCCTGGACTATCTGCACACCTCAGCCCCTCCAGGACCCACAACGCAGGGCCAGAGGGAAGGCCCCTTTGCAGGGTGAAGGCCCTGGTCCCCTTGGCTGTGACCGGGGCGGGGCGTGCGCCCTCCTGCGCCCTCACCTTTTTGTACAGGTCCCACAGGCGGTAGTAGAAGAGGCGGCAGGAGAGGCACCCGAAGCGCAGGTAGGGGCTGAGGCCCGTGGGGCTGGCCAGCAGGGAGTTGGCGTTCATTCGGGGTCTCTCGTAGTTGGCAACCCAGGCCTGCAGCGGAACGAGAGGCAAAGAAAGGAGAGGCCCGGATGTTACAGAAGGGAAAATTGAGGCACTGGGGGAGTTAAGGAATCTGCCTGAGGTCACCGAACAGAAAGCCAAGGAGCCAGGACTTGAGCACTGTGCTCACTGCACTTGCTCATGCCGGCAGAATTTTCAACAGAACCGCCGCCAGACCAAACGACGAGGCCCAAGTTCTTGTCCTGACTCTGCTATTTAATTTGTGCATGATCAAGAACAAGTCATTTGGTCCCTCAGCTACTCATCTATCAGATGAGAACCGAATTTCCCACCTCCTGGGGATTGAACAAAATGACAGAGATGAAAAAATTCCCGAAGCGTTGAACGGTCTGTGCTTATACAGAAGAAAGGAAGAAAGGCTTCTACTGTACAGAAAAAAATAGCCCTCTCTCGGGCCCCGCTCTAGTCACAGGCCCCTGAGGCCGCTGCCTCCTCGTCCTGCTCCTCCTCCCTGCTACCCAGGGACCCCTCGCCTCTGTTCAACAGCGGCCGCGCAAGGAGGGACTCCCGCCCGACTCCCGGGGAGCCAGTGTCACGCGTTTCCGGGCCACCTGTCCTATAGTGTTGTTGGCCTTGTTCTGATCATCAGTGGCCACTGGCAGTGCCATCCTCTCACAGGTCACTGTCACATGCTCTCTCATTTGATCTCAGCAATCTTAGGAGGCAGCATTTCTCACTGCCTCCTTTAGAAAGGAGGAAACAGAGCTCAAGGGCTATGTGACTTCTGGGGTTACAGCAGTGGTAAGAGACAGGGCTGGGGCACTCAGCTTCTCACGCGGACCCCAGTCTCTTTCCACTGCATCTAAGAACTGTGTTCTTGGGCCGGCCCGGTGGCTTAGTGGTTAAGTGCGCGCGCTCCGTTACTGGCGGCCCGGGTTCGGATCCCGGGTGCGCACCGACGCACCGCTTCTCCGGCCATGCTGAGGCCGCATCCCACATACAGCAACTAGAAGGATGTGCAGCTATGACATGCAGCTATCTACTGGGGCTTTGGGGGGAAAAAATAAATAAATAAAATCTTAAAAAAAAAAAAAAAAAAAGAACTGTGTTCTCTTCCTCAGCTCCTCACACCCGCTCCTTCTCTCCAGGACGACTAGTTCACACACTCCACACCTCTGCAGACCTCCTCCTCCGCACTGCCCCACCCTTCAGCAGCTGACCTTCCCTCCTCATGATAAGCACATGGAAGCCATCAGGTGGGAATCGCCTCAACTTCCAGCCACCAAATCTCCAAACTCACCTGCACCCACACCTGCACCCCTGCCCCTCCTGGGACCCTGCCGAGGCCAAGGCCTCCACCTGGCTCTGGAGCCCTCGCTGCTGCTCCTCTTGCACATTCCATCTCTCCCTCTCTACAGCTTCCACTCCAAGAACAGTGGGAAAATAAGCTCGTTTCTTGGCAAACAAAACAAAACAAAACTAAAGGACTTCTCCTAACCCTGTGGACCTCCACCCTTGGGTCCGCTCTTCTCCCTCCACAGCCAGCCTAGCTGCACTTCCCCACACCCTCCTCCCCTTTCTAGCCCACCCAGTCTGGCTTCTGCCTTCACCACTCCACAAGCTGGCTCCCAGCAGTCTCTGTGATGTCCCCCCGCCGAATCCTGCAGCCATTCTCTGTCCCTGGATTTTCGGACCTCTCAGCAGCAGCTCGCCCCACTGGCTGCTCGTCTCCACACCCTCCATTCCGTTGGCCTCTGGACTCCACACGCTCCTGGTTGCCTCCTATCTGGCTGGCTGCTCTCGGTGTTTCACCAGCTCCACCGGCCCTCCCAACCGCTTAAATGTTTGCATCCCAGGGCTCATCCCAGGTTCTCTCCTCACTGTGTTCCCGGGTGAGCTCCTCAGTCCCAGGACTCCCAATGCCATCCCTTTGCCGACGACCACCATGTCTGCAGCTCTAGTCCAGACCGCTCCACCCACTGCCTGCGGGCGATCTCTACCTGGCTGCCGTTCAGCCACCTCAAGTGTACCACGCTCTTTACCTTAAACCACTCTTCCACTGGCACTCCCCACTCAGGAGATGCACTGGCATCCACCTAGCTGCCCAAGCCAGAAGCCTGGCCATCACCTCTGACTCCCCGCTCACCAAACCCTGTCAATCCTACCGTCCCAATATGTCTCAAATCTGTCCTTTTCTTTCCATTCTCTCTTGCTACCAACCTGGTTCAGGCTAAGACCGCATTTAGACTGTGACAGCCTCCCGAGTGACCTCCCTGCATCTCTTCTTGTCCCCCTCTAATCCATTCTCCACGCGGGGAGCAGAGTGAGCGTTTAAAAATGCCTGTCCCTAGGATAACACGTGCACTGGGCTTCCTGTTGCCCTTAGGATAGAGTCCCAATCCTAAACACGGCTTACAAGCACCCCACAGTGTGGGTGGGCCCATCTTTCTGGCTTCATCTCTTGCCACTCTTCCTTAAGCACCGCTGTCTCACTAGCCTTTGCACATGCAGCTCCCCGGGCCTGGAATGCTGTCTTCCTTTCCACTCGCCTTCCCTTGGTTAATTCTGACTCTTCCTTCAAGTCTCAACCTACAGGCCACCTCCTCAGCAGGTAATCCCACAGCTATTAGGTTAAGTATCTCCAACAGACACGAGGTACATTTGCCTACTCACATCCTTGCCCGCCTTTCTTTGAAAATCTTTTTAAGTGAAACACAGACACAGAAATCACACAGACGTGTGGCTTGATGAATTATTCTAAGGCAAACACCCATGCAACCGCCAACAAAGTTCACGCATCAGAACACTGCCAGCCACCCCGGAAGCCCATCTAAGTGCCCATCCCAGTCATGGTCCCCTCTGTGCCCCACAAGTGACCACTCATCCAACTTTCATAATAACCATTTCCTTACATTTAAAAATGTAAACATTTTTCTATTTTTGCAAAGCATAGTTGGGAGGGAGGGTTTTATCTTTTCATAGTTATTCTTTGCATTTTTAAGTGGGTTTTTTTTTCATTCAAGTGTGTACCCCTGGGCACTACAGTTTAGCCTTGGCCATTTTACAAACTTTGACATGTTATTTAAGTTTCTTTTACTCTATGCATTTGCTGTCATTTCTTTCCTTTCCCTAGTCTTTCTGTGGAAGAACACAGGCCATTTGACTTGGGCTGATGCCCATGGTCTGGACTGTGTTGAGTATGCACTCATGATGCAGTTCAATGCGTCCCTCTGTCCTACGTACTGCCCGCAAATCGGCAGCTGGCACCAGAGACTGGACTGGACTCAGGCTGATCTCTTTGGCAGGACTACAGGGGGGACATAATGCCTGACGGTCTCTCTTTATGGGGACAGCAGTCATTAACGCATAATGACTCATCATTGGGGGTTGCAAAAGGGTGGTATTCTATCACCCCTTTTTCATTTAATAATCAGGACGCTTTTATAGAGAGACCTTGCCCTCACCTACTATGGGGTAACCCAGTAGTCAAGATCACACAATTTGCCTCCCCTTTTTGGTAACAGCACTTGATTTTCTTGTGGTGACCCAGCCTTCCCTAATCTCAGTCCAAGCGGGTAAAAGTGGAGCTAAGCCCACCTTCTGACTCTGGGCTCATGAAGCAAATCTGATCAGGGAAAGCACCTCCTTCCTCAGCCATGAGACTGAGTCAGGGTCAGTCACATGGCCCAAGCCAGGCCAATGAAAACACTCCTCGGGACTCTTCCTGAAGCTTTTGGCAAAGAGGCACATGACTTCCTCTGGTGTTGCTAAGCAACTGAATATAAGTTGCTGTGACCACCTTTGCCACTGCTCAAGGAAAGCCTGACTGAGAATGAAATAATACAGAGGGAAGCAGAGCTGAGAGATGGAGAATGTATTCCTGGTAGCATTATTTGGACACCAGGATCCAGCTGTGCCTGAAGGCCACATCTTGGACTCCTGGTTGTGTGTTAAAAAACTCCCCTTTTCAAAAGCCAACTTGCAAACAAGAACCTGATTAATATAATCCTCTCGTTCTTTGCTCCGATAACCCTCTAAACCTCTCCCTTCTTAACCTAAGCACATTGTAATTCCTTATTTCATATCTATCACCTCCAATAGATGGCACTTTGGGAGACAGCTCCATGCCTATCTTGTTGGGCAGTTTTTCTAGTAGCTAGAGCATCCTGACACAGTAGATGCTCACTTCAGAACTGGAGAACTGAAGAAATTAAAATAAACCTCCTGAAATCAGGTTATACTCATGTCCATCAGGCATCTTTTGTTCTCCCAGATGTGTAGGACACAGTATTCACTCTGCCCACCCCTGAGTCTGAAGGGTCCTGACATAATACCCCATGACAGAAGAGACCCTTCAGGGGTATGTGGAAAAGGAGCCCCTGACTTGGCGATCTAAGGGGCACTTCTTTACAAAATGCTTTCAAGGTGACAATAATCCACGAGGCCAGGTTAGCTCTTTACAATTTTAAGTCTTATTCTACTCCTGCCATCCCACTTGTCATCTCCGCCCTTCTGCCCCCTTGGCCCGGTCTTTGTCTCCAAACTGACCCCAAGAATCTCTGGGTAAAGCTCCTGAGGTGGACAGAGACAGCTGGTGCCCCCACAGCCCTTGGCCGTCCATTCTCATCCTTTTAAGCGGGTGGGGCTTGCTTTCGGCCCTGGCTGACAGTAAGACCCAGATGGGGACATCGAGGCTGCTGGGCCTCAGGGAGGCTGGGCCCACGGCACGCCTTCACTGCTGGTGAGGTACCTCCAGGGCTGGGATAGCATTCCTCCCAAGGAGGCTGCCTCAGACTCCCTGTTCCGTTGTCATCACCTGGCTGCTGGGCCAAATGCCCAGCTATCCGAGCAGGAATAGAAAAAGCTGTTATAAATGTCAAGTCGCCACGCAGTACACCTGAAACTAACATAATATTGTATGTCAACTATACTTCAATAAAACAAATAAATTAAAAAAAAAAGTTGTGATTTTCGGGACCCAGTCTATAAACCAGCTGCAGGGGGCAGGGACCTAGGAGCCAACTGTTCTCAGTCATGGGAACCTTCTTGCTCCTCTCGTCCCAGGGTGGTGGGGGCCATGTGACTGTGTCGAGGGGTGCCTCCGGGGCCTCAGCTTCTTACCTTCCCCTTGCCAATGCCCACTTCCCTGGGAGGTGTGTCATCTGTTCTCTGTGTCCAAACATATGGAAATCAAGGCCCTGGCAGACACCCAGCAAAAGGTAGGGGGACACAAACCCAAGATAATTCATCTTGTGGACTTTACTGACCAGATACCTTTTTTTTTTTTTTTTTTTTTTTGGTGAGGAAGATTCACCCTGAGCTAAAATCTGCGCCAATCTTCCTCTATTTTCTATGTGGGACGCCGCCACAGCATGGCTTGATAAGCGGTGTGTAGGTCCACGCCCAGGACGAATCTGCAAACCCCAGACCACCAAAGTGGAGCACGTGAACTTAACCACTACGCCACTGGGCAGGCCCCCAGATAGCCTTTTAATAAGGGGAACCTGCTCACAGATGAAAGAAAAGCAATCTAGCATTAAGTCTTAGAATCACATAGAGCAAGATCTTACTCTACTACTTGCTAGCTGTGTGACCTCAGGCAGGTTGCTTGACCTCTCTAAACCTAATTTCCTAATCCGTAAAATGGAGAGCTTAAGATCTACCTTGTAGGGCTGCTGGAAAGACTAAAGGAAATAATGCAAGCAGGTGCTTATCCCAGAAATGCTCAGCCCAGAGACCAGCATGTGAGCACTTACGAAATGGTAGCTGCAATTATTATTGTTACTGCCATCAGGAAGAGTTTTCATTTTTCAACCAGTTCAAGCTAAGAGGCACTAAGAGACATGATATCCCCTGGTGCATGGATGTCAGCATACAAAGTTCTGTGTCTCAGACACAGGGGCCATACTTTCCGTTCCAAGTGCTTATCCAGGCGGGCCAGAGCTTCTGTCTCTCCTCCTTGCCAAACAGCCGGGCCAAGGCCTTCCGTGGGGAACCCTAGAAGAGAAGGAGCAGGTCACAGAACTGGGGGTCAGGCCACTCCAGTGACAGCTCAGCAAGTCCTGCCACGTCGGTCTGTTCTTTGAGCTTTGTGGGAACTGAACTGCAGTGTTCCTGGTGCTGCTGAGGCTGAGATAATTCTTAACCTTTCAGCATTTTCTAGGTCATCCTGGTTCTCTGCCCACTGTGGCTTTTTTCTTTCCTTTCCCTTGCCTTCCCCGTCCCAGCCACTCATCCTTCCAGGCAGGTGAGAACAATCCTGGACTGCCTGCCCTTTCAGGTTAGCTGGCAATAATTGTGGTTTTCCAGTGAGAAAGGCTAACTTTGTTCAGATCAAAAACTGGGGGTTGGAGGGAGGAAGGGGAAGGAATCCGAGAGGCTGACACCCCCTTTCAACAGAAGCAATACTAGTTATCCTGTACAGAGTAGCCCACTGAAGCCAGCGCCAGGCTGTGCTGTATCGTCTGAGAGGGCAAAGTACAAAAATAGAAGAGGCATGAACTAGAAACAGAAGATTACATGTATGGGTGTGAATAGAAACAAGACCAGAACGACCTACTCCACAATCAATAGTGGTTATCTCTGGGTGAGTGACTGTTATTTCCATTTTCGTTTCTCTGTCTTTTCTAAACTGTCTATAATGACTTGCACTACTTTGACAAAGAAGGAAAAAACCAGTAAGTTATTTTACAAAAGGGGGGTGCCGTCATAGGAGGCTTGGGGCAGGACATACGCACCCAGCTCCTCTAGGGAGGGCACGCCGTAGGTTTCATCGTGGTTCTCCTGGATCTCGGCCCTGCAGCTCTCCATCTGCTGGCTGGTCACAGAGCCCACAGGCTTCTTGGGCAGCTCCATGCGGCTGATGAGGGCCTGGAAGCGCTTGTAGGTAAGGGGCGGCTTCTGCCCGTTCAGCTCAATGATCCTGGGAATACCAAAGCACACCTGATGTCACTCATAAGGCCCCTCGTTTCGGGTCCCTGTCCATCCAGAGAAGAGCCCAGACTTCGAAGGCGTGGAGGGTGGCTTTCCTTATCTATCCGCTCACGGATCCCACCCCTAAGGGGAAAGGAGTGGGCGAGGGGGGCTACGTCTCCATTTTACCCAGAGGGAAAGTTAAGCCCAGAGGGCTGGAACAGGTGCCTCAGGTAATGGAGCAAGGCAGGGCCAAAGCTGGGACTCAGCTCCAGGTTCCCTGGTGTCCACGCGGAGCTGCCTAAAGACAGAGACTGACCATCTCTCTCTAATCACAGAAAAACCCCCACTAGCCTCCTTGGTACTCCGCCTATCTGTGCAAGCTGCGGGACTCCCTGTGGACGTTCCTCTCTATCCCGGAGTAAGCCTTGAGGAAGGTCTCTGGTAAGAGCTGCCAACATGTTCCTTTGCTGGAAAATCCTTCCCCTCTTGGCCCTTATCTACTAGAACAGAGAGGTGGAGAACAGCCTATCCTCCCTAAATCAGAGATTGGGGCTGGGTTAATTGCAACAACTGATACTTACAGGACGTTTTGAAGTTTACAAAGTATTTTTTCATGAGCAAGGGAAACACAGTTGTACTCAGGGAAGAAGAAAAGATATAGGAGAGCCAAGAGAAGTGAGGCCATTTATATAAGGATGAATTGGGAGGGTTTGGAGCCAGATTCCCGGGGCCCTTGTTGGCCAAGCAGCAGCTTATGCGAGCCGCGGCTGGCTGCAGGAGTTCGTTTCTCAATCCATCTCTCTCCCTCTCCTCCATTAGTGGAGAGAAAAGGTTGGCTGCTGCCCCTGCAGTGCCTCCCCCTCCTCTGGCACGTGGCAGGGGGCGGAGCTCCACACCCAGCATCTGCTCCCGAGAGCTCGGTTCACGTGCAGAGCTGTGTGACCCGGCCTCCTGGCAGCCACCACTGGTTGAAGAGAGGGGGCAGGGAGCAGTGGTGGCTGCTGGCTTGGCAGCAGCAGCAACAGCAGCAGCAGCAGGAGGGTGACAGCTCTGCCAGGGAAGGGGAGGAGAGGGTTTCCTCCTAGATGCTTTGAAAGCACAGAGGCTTGTCCCCAGAGGAGGAGGCTACTCTGTATTCTCAGCTCCCTGCAGGGATCTCTAGAGCCTCCTGAGCATGGCCTGGAAACCCAGATAGCCAGGGGAGCCCAGCAAACTCATATGAGGTACAGAAACTGGCCTAGGAGAACAGAGCTCTGCTGGGAGGGGTAACAGAAGGGTCCGCTGAGGTCAGAGGGCAGCCTTGAGGAACAGGGCGGAAATGGGAGTCTGAGGAATGCGTGAGACTAGGCACAGCAGGGGCAGATGTACGCAGACCCTGAGTGGGGGTCTGCACTGCTTCCATCCCTTGGGCCTAATAAGCCTCTGCCCCCAAATCGGGTAAAGCTCTTTGTGACCTGTTCTATAGGCCCCAACTCAGGCCCACTCTCCTCCAGCTTCTCGAAAATGCCACACTTCATGTGCCAGGCGGCCCTATTTCTGAACCTCCCTGAGTTCTACGCTGCAGAGGTCCAAGTCACCACCTTCCACAACTGACAACCTGCCCGACCCCCGGGACCCGTCTCTTACCTGTCCAAGTCATAGAGAGTATGCGAGTTCTCGGTCACCACCTCCACACCAGCCTCCTTGGCCATCTTCATGATGGCTGCGTCCCGTTCTTTCCCAAAGGGTTCGGAGTCATACTCAAAGGTCAAGCGGGTCACCCCCCACTCCTGTGGGGAAAGAATCAGGTATGCTGAACTCTGTCTGGGGCGGAGGGGGAGCTGGGCACTCAGCCCCTTCTGGGCGGGACAGAGCAAGACCCGAGACCTGTCAGAATGGGCTGCAGAACAAATGGGGATGAGGATCTGATCTGAGGGGCACAAGGTCTGAGGAGGGAAGGCCTCTGAGGGGAGGCCAACAGCACAGTAACAGGGCAGCCCGAGGCCCGTGGCTTCTCTGTGGACTCAGGAGGGAGGTGGGCAGCCCTGGCACCCGCTGTGTCCTTGAGGTGGGAGAAACCAGCAGGACGCTATAAATACAATGCTCCCAGGGGCGCCCCCAGCCCCAGGAAGAGGCACTGACTCGCTGGTGGAGAAAGGGGGGCCAGGATCGCCACCTCCCGCCCGCTCTGCCAGCTTTTCCCACAGCTCCTCAGGCCCTGCAAACTTCTGGCCTAGTTTTCTTGGCAGACTTGTGCTATGTGAAGTGTCCTAATGGTTTCCACAGCAACACCCCTGAGGCCACCAGCAAACAGAGCTAACAGGCTCCAGCTCTCAGAGAGCTGGGGAAGGAGGAGCAATTCTTAGTCCAAAGGACAGAGAAATCAGACTAGAGGGGCCGCATGTGAAAAGAGAAGGGAATTCTTTTTCAAGTCTTTAGTCACTTCTGATAGAAAGTTCCAAATTTCCTAGCAATGCTGGGAGAAAGCCGGCCCAGTGGAAGGTTGTACAGACAACCCACAGAAACCCCTAGAGCATGCAACTAGCAAAAGAAGACCACATTCCAACTGAAGTCTCTGGTCTTGGTCCCTTAAATCTCTGCACCCCCAGGGCAAAATGTCCTGGCCTTGCACAGGCTGGTCTGGTCCTGACTCAGCCCCGCCCGGGGTGTGGGGCCTGAGCAGGGCTGGTTATCTCTCGTCCAAGCATCACAGCACGAAACACTGACTGAGCCCTTACTATGAGCAAGAACCATGCTTAGCAGTTCAGCTAGATTACATAGTTAAATACTCCTAACTCGGTGAATAATGACAGAAATGTTATTAGATGACACCTTCTCCAAGAAGCCTTCCTTGACCTTCTCCTTCAATATGATCCTCCTGTACTTTGCCCTTTTTCTAGCATTTATGACATGGCAGTGAAGTTGCCCAGCACTTGCTATTTCCTCCACTAGTGTGAACTCTCAGAGCAGAAACTATGCCGTTTCCTTCATGCTCACCCTAGGACCGAGCATGGGGCCTAGGACACTGTAGCAGCTCAATAAATACACACTGCCTGACTGGACCTATCTGTGTCTCTGGGCGACGACCGGGTTGGCCTCTAAGGCGCTGGGGGAGAGGGGGACAATGCAGAGGGAGGAAAGGGGAATGTGTTGAATGGTGCGGTGGTAAAGAACATAGCTCTGGGGTCAGAGAGCCTGGGCTGCATCTTAGACCACCACTTCTCAGCTTCAGGACCCTGGGCAAGTTATCATTCCCTCACCTGCAGAACAGGGAGAGCAGCGCCGACCTCTGAGGGCTGCCGTGAGGAATATGACTTACCGCGTGTAAAGCACTAACTTAGAGCAGAGCTCGACTCACAGTCGGCCCTCCACGAACGCTGGCTGTTATCAGCACTGTGTGATCTGTACGTGTCGGGGTGCGGGGAGGTGAAGCAAAGTAGAAAGTGTTCACCGAGCCGCTCGCCGGACACGAGACCTCCTCCTGTCTCTCCCCCAGGAAGAGCAGAAGGCAGTTGGGCGGAGAGGGGCATAAGAACAACCACGCGCCGCTGAAGACGAGGGGAGACTGTCCTAGAGCCTCTGTCCACGAGGACCTCTGCCTCTGTTTGGGCCTTAAAATGTGCTTTATAAAGGGTCTGGGGGAAAAGTGGGCGGGCTACCTGATACAGCAAAGAGAGGTCTACATGGTACCCAAAGGAAGACTTTATCAATCATTTACCCCAGGGAAAGCCAGAAAGTTCCCTCAGAAGGGCTGACTTTTTTCCCAACAAGTAGAGCAAAGCAAGACAGGAAACGCCCCTCGCTAAACAGGAAATCTCGCCCTCAAACTCCTGGCATAGGAAGAACCCTAACAAATTTTGCTGGCTTCAGCCAAGAAAGCATCTAAGGAAGCCAGTGGCATCCGGGGTGGAGTAAGCTGCCACATCTCACGTCTAGACGGAGCTGGGAACTTTCCAACAAGACACTGGCTTCACAGAATCTTTTCCTCACCACAGTCTCCGCATGGTCAGCAAGCTGACCGGCGGCCTTTGCTCCCTGCTTCCCCAGCAGCCGCAGGCAGACCAGCCTGAGCGTCTCCACGTCCTCAGTCAGACTACCATCTCCTTCAGTCTGCGGAGAAGACCCAGGGAGCAGAACCTCCCCGTCTGCTCTCGGACTCCGCACGCTCACCTTGAACAGCCTCGGGAACACGTCAGCTGGCTGTCCCCGGACGACAAACAGGCGGGAGTTTAGTTTCCTTAGGCTCGTGTCCAAATCTTCCAGGGACTGAAGTAGGAACCTGCAGAGCCCACACAGCCCTTGTTAGTGGTAACATCATAAACAGTCGCTCTCGTTCCCAACAGAGCAGGGTGACGCTGGTGCACTGTTTACGCCAAACAAGTAGCATCATCAATCAGGGATAGGGGGGCCGGGGTTCTAGTCCAAGGACGATACGGCAGGGGATCAGCGACGCCTCCATTGAAATCCTGGCTTTGCCACTTACTAGCCACGTGACTTTAGGCAGTTACTTAACCTCTTTAGCTTTTTTTTTCTTATCTGTACTGTGGAGTTGACATTAGTACCTATCTCACGGAATTCTAGGAAAAGAAAATCAAATACTGCATACAACCTTTAGTACACTGCCTGGCACACAGGACACCTGGGACAAACGTGAGCTGCGCCTACTCTTCGTGTTTCTCTGTGATCAGTGGCCAAGTCACTTATTCCCTCTCAGCCTCAGGCCCTGTGTGTAAATATCCACCCATCACCAGGCTGTTGTGAGAATCAAAAGGGAGATCAGATGAGAAAACCACCTGAAAACCAAGCGCAATAGTGTGGTAGGGAAGCCTGAGGCCCGAGAGCAGAGGAACAGGACTGCCACTGCTCTGGAAAATCCTACGTGCCCTGGCCCACAGACTCCCTGGCTTTCCGCACTCTGGGCTGCGCGTATGTCTACTGCCGCAGCCTGGGCTGGGGCCCGGTTCCCCGGGTTTCGTTTGGGAGGTGGCTCATTCTCCAGGCCTCTCCAGGGCTCTGGCCACCAGCTTCTCATCCCAAGAGAAAGAAGGCCTTAGAAGGTGCTTTTCTGTAGGATATCCTCACATGCTTTCAGGGGTGGGGATTGGGTGGGGTGGGGAGGACTCCAGATACTCAAGAGGCCCAGCCTGAGAGCTGGAGCACCATGGGAAAGGGAGTGAACATTTGCTGAGTGTCTTCAGTGCTTTTTTTATATGACCACAAAAATGTATTAACTGTCCAGTTAGGCACAATCACCTTTCTGAGAAATTCCATCCATACATTTTATGATATGTTTTATTTTTACATTTAATGAAACTAACATTTTAAACAGATAACTATTCATGTGGTTCAAAATTCAAGTTACAAAAGGGTCCTCAGTAAAAAGTCTCCTCCCACTGCGGCCCCAGGAATTTAATTCCCTTCCCCAGAGGCAACCAATGTTATTTTATGCCTGTTACACTTTTTAAGTGTGGCTTCTTTTGAATTCTCGCAACACGTTTTGAAGGAAAATATGACCCTCATTTTATAGATGAGGAAAATGAGACACAGAGAGGATAATTAATTTGCCTAAGATCATAGTTATTAAGTGACAAAGCTGGGATAGGAACCCAGGTTGTCAGACTCTCTCTGAAACCATGTTTTCTTCTCTGTGCCCCATTTCTAAAGCCTTAATTTAGTGGTACGCCACACACTGCTCTCGGGGCTAGGATTCTGCAGGACCTCACGTGCCTGGAATCCCTCTCTGACAAAATAAACCTCAGTACTGGTAATCCACTGACATTCTGATCTTCGTCCTCGGGAACTAAGCCCTGACGGGTCAGCCTCGTTCACAGAGACCTTCTGCTATCCACACTCTGGCATCTCCCACCCATCTCTGTCCACAATGGGAATCACCAGATTGTATTTTGAGCACAATGAAACCCCGGGCCTCCTCTGCAGCACATCACATTCCCGACGATCTGAGGCCCACAGAAGAGCGACATTCCCAGGCTGCCAGCTAGAACCAGCCCCCACTGCTGCTCTGACGTCCACAGCACGACACTCCCACAGCGGCGGGTGCCACAGGCCCACATTCCAGCACGAGCTGAGTCCCAGGCTGAGCCCAAAGCATCATGCTACCTACAGAGCATGTAGACTCGCCAAGGGGTTGCGACAGGAGGCTCTGACAGGCTGAACGCCGCTTTATTCAAGCCAAAAGTTCTGCCTCCGTGAATTTCTGTTTTTGAAAAACCAACACCCTCAGAAAAGGAAAGCTGAGATGTGAGTGACGCACTTGCGCTGGCCTCCTCCCAGGCCTCACCACTCCTCTCAGGAGGAAAATAAGAGACACCCATGTAAACAGCCTCATGCCACCTGACACCTGGGCCCTGCCAGCCAGCATGCCTACAGATAACTGGCGACTTAAAGCCACAACCCCAGGACAGGGGGCCCTCCATCTGCGGCTCCCAGGAATGGCCCTGCCAGGCACTTGGGAGCCCCTCTTTCCAAGTCCCCCAGGCTGCAGAGAACCTCAATTTGAAGCTACAAATAAGACTGACATGCACATGAAAGCTAGGTTCCAGCTGCCTTCCATAGAACTTTACTTCTAGACCTCATGTACTAAAAGGAGAGATTCTTTGCAGCATCTCTGGAGCACAGATAATCCCAGGAGAGCCCTTTCTTTGACAAGAGATGTCTATAGCTGAGGCAGGGAACAGAAGGCCCAACTTGGAACTCAGCAAGCAAATGACAATAATAGCAACAACTAACATTTAATGAGCATTTACAATGAACCAGGCACTGTTCTACTTGTTTTACATACATTACTTCATTTAATTCTCAAACAGCCCTAGGAAGCAAATACTGTTATTATCCCCATTTTACAGATGAGGAAGCTGAAGCACGGAGAGATTAAGTGGCCAGAATTCAACCCAGGCAGTGTGGCTCAGCGACTGTGTTCTTAACCACCAGGCCCCACAGCCCCTCAACCAGGACTCACCCCCTGAGCACTAGGATTATGCTGCCCAGGACTCAGCAATCAGGGAGGCCACAGCCCAAATCAAAGGCCAACACCTTTGCTACCAGAGCCTTGCTCCTCTGAGGGTCAACAGCTGTGAATCACCCAGAGGCTTACAGAAATACAGAATCTCAGGCTCCATCCCAGACCTCCAAAATCTGCATTTTAGCAAGATCCCCAGGCAATCCTTTGGCACATTAAAGTTTCAGAAGCATTGTTCCAGAAAACTCAACTTTACTTCTAGCTTCTGTTTACAAGTTGCCTTTCTTTGCTTCTAATTTGTTTCTACTCAACTTTCTTTGAGATCCTGCTTTCTGCCTCCTCTTTGGCCCTCTAGAAATGCTCTGTTCCCTCCAACTCCCTTTCTGAGTCAAACCCTGCAGGGCTCCTCCAGGAAGGAATGTCCCCCACGAGTCCCAGCTTCCAGGCAGCAAGAGAAAGAGAAGCCACTACTGTGGCACCCCCGCCAAGGCCTGCCAGGTGACAGCTTTGCGTTAACACCAAAGGAACACGGAGCAGCACTGCTACTGGGCAAATGCCCACCAGGGCAGGTGTGCTTTCTTTCACCAGAGAGGACCCTGGGCCTCCTGTGCTCCCTCAGAGCCCTCCTTTCCACATGGCCAGTTTCTTTTTACTCCAAAAAGGGGGGACTCGAAAAGCACTGGAGGTGGCAGTTTGGGGCTGGCAGCTCCAAGCTGCGCTCACGTGACCAAAATTCAGAGCACACGGCCCTGTGTGAGCAGTTCAAGCTCACTCCCTGGATTTGACGACATATGCAACTGAATTACATTACGTAAGCGCGCTGGAGCCAGAGGCAGACACAACTGGAGAAAACCAAATTGAGATTCCAAAAATACAGAAAGCACTCTGTAATTCAGGGACTCCACGGGGCAGCCCTTTAGAATAAGACAGGCAGATCTTTAGGGAAAGCCTTCTCTAGAGATGGCAGATACTGTGTGGAGGAATATTTTGTTCATTTGTTGTTAACAGGAGGAGGGAGGATGACAGTGAGCTCTTTTTTGGGTCCAGACTGCCCTGGACCACATTTCTCTGCTTCGAGCCAAGGTCATCTAACTATAATAATGATATCATAGGCTGACCCAGACTGGCTACATAGGATATTTATAGAAATTAATTTCTCCTAAGTAATTAAGAGATCCTAAACCCCATGAAAAAGGATAACCTGAACCCACATCTATAGCAGGAACAGATCTCTAAGTATCACTCAGATAAAAATATATTTATTGTTTCCTAATTTCAAAGAGAAACATGAAGATGAAGATTATCATTCCTTTTGGGCAAGTGGAAACATTTCCGCCGACTCGCCTGGGGACCAGTGTGAACAGCTCAAATTTCCCCGCCAGTAGACAACAGGTCCCAATCCCCTTCTAGCTGACCAAGTGCCAGGGAAGAGCTGCCCACATTGAGAGTCCAATAGTGTTTGGCTCCCTGCATTGGGAAGAGAGACACGTTCTTACCAGGCATCCAGTGGGGTTCTCAGTTCACCTCATTTATTAATTCTGAGCGATATGCGCTGCTATTTTATTTCTCCCAACTCCCTCTGTCCCAGAAGCTCCTGAATGCAGTTACAGCACAGAGCCAGGGAGAAAAGGATTTAAATAAAGAGCACGGGGAGTTGTTGCCAACACCCATCTAAGTTGCAGTACAGAGGAAGGTAATGACGAACTTCAAGGGCCTATTTTGAGTACCCATTTTGAAATCTAGAAGCTGCTCACATCACTTCTATTTTTTTTGGTTCTCACTGCAGTACCTCCTTCCAGATGCAGCAAATTCGAGAAGGTGGGGCTGGAGAAAATGGCAAACAGCTTGCCCAACTAGTGCTTGACAAAGAAAGTCCTGAAGCTCATATAGCTACAGCTAGTCCATAAACTTCCCACCACCACCAAAGCAAGGAGAATGCCAGCCCTTCTCCTAGGCTAATAAATATACATATTTCTTAATTGCCTTTCTCTGTCCTCTTTTACTCTTAGAAAGTGCCATTCATGGTTATTTTAATCTGATTCATCCGCCAAAAAACGCTGTGTGGGAGTCAGTGTAGGAAGCGCAGGAGATAATAGAGATCACAGATTTTGGTGCCATCTCCATCCTGCAGATGGCCCGGGGCCCACCCTTCTTAGGGAGGCTTCTCAGCAAGTGAAGCAGAGTGAGGACACTGTGCTGCAGCGCAATTCTCCCAGATCACTCCTGGATCCAGAAACAGCCCCCGGAAGATTACACATACTAGAGTTACGCAGAGGTATGGCTGGCTCCATCACTCCCCCCAACCAAGTGCATAAAGGAGCGTGCAGCAGTGCCCTCCATCCAATCAAAGGAGCAAAGAGTATGGGGGTGGGAGGAGTGTGTCTATTTCCAGGCCCAGGAGCAGTTATTATATTCGATCTGTTTGTGTCATTTCACTTCTTTCTTCTGAATGCCAAAACTAATTAGACTTCCTGCCAATGCACAGCAACACATTTTCCAAGCTGTTGGGCTCAGGTCTGTGGTTCTCTAGTCGAGTGCTTCTCAGGCTTTGCTGCACCTGAGAGCTTTAAAAACCCTAATGCCCAGGCCATAACCCAGAACAATTAAATCAGAACTGGGGGAAGGGGGTTGAGGCATCTTTTATTTTATTTATTTCTTTTTAAACTTTTATTTATTTATTTATTTTTAAACTTTATTTATTTTTTCCCCCCAAAGCCCCAGCAGATAGTTGTATGTCATAGCTGCACATCCTTCTAGTTGCTGTATGTGGGACGCGGCCTCAGCATGGCCGGAGAAGTGGTGCGTCGGTGCGCGCCCGGGATCCCAACCCCGGGCCGCCAGCAGCGGAGCGCACGCACTCAACCTCTAAGCCATGGGGCCGGCCCCTGAGGCATCTTTTAAAGATCCTTAAGTGATTGCTATATGCAGCAAAGTTGAGAGTCAGTACTCTAGTCCATCCTCCTATTTTATTTATTTCATGGCACTTCTACTAAATTATGGTTGTTTACTTGTCTTCCTTCACTAAAATGTAGGTTCCAGGAGCTCTGGACACGGCATCCTCTTGTTCACTGCTGTGACCTGAGCAGCCCCTAGGGCAGTGCCTAGCAGATATTAGGCACTCATTAAAACAATTGCTCAATTAAAATCTACACGGCCTCTGACTTCAGGATCTGACTCAGGTATCTGAGCTGCCACATTCCACTTCTCCTTCACTTGCTTGAAAGCACAATCACAAAAGCGTGACCCATAAAAATCCATAAACACCTAGTTCCTAGCAAATCGGAGTTTAACCAGCAACAGAGTTTTTGTTGTTGATTTTTAATCTCTACTAGCACAAAGGAGTAGGCAGTCCTCTGCGATGTCCCCCAAAATCCAACAAAAGAAACTCCTTGGTGACAGTGTAGCAAGTCGATAGTCTGATCTATTTACTCTGCTCGGATTGGCACACTGACATAAGCGAGGGGCAAAGTCTGAGGCTCAGTTTAATCTTCCTGCTAGATGGCCATTTGAGGATGTCTGTGGAACCCAACCTCCTATCTATAGAAACTGGAGCAGAGACAGAGCAATAGAGCCGCCTGAAAACTGTGTGGGCAGGCTCTCCACAGGACTATCTTTAGTTGTTCTCTCTACATAAGTGGGGCAGGAGGGGGCATTTCACAGACCCACTGCTAGAGCCCTCACTCTCCCAGCAGGGCACACACCTTGGAGAGGGAAGGACGGTGTGCTGAGAGCCACTGTATCCTGGGAATAACCCTGCCCAACGCAATATGGCCACAGCAAACATCCTCCAGAACCACGCAAACAAACCGAATGACTCCTGTGGGATGTTTTAATGACAGATGAGTACACGATGTCTCAGAACGCCTTGGTTTTAAACACTGATTACAGAGAAAATACATCAACTACCTATCTGTGAATCCTTTCCCAAGATCCTGTCAACTCCATTTCCTGGAGTAATCGAAGACGGGCCCTTGATAGCAGTTTTCCTGCTCCCTGACCTCAGCACATCAGTTGATAAAAGTCTAATCTTTGGTGGTTCAACTGTCCTTTAAGATCAGTCTCAGAAGAAGGGGAGGAAGGAAGTAACACTGTGTTTTTTTTTTTTCCTAGCAAGCTCACTGCTGCTGAGGGAATTCTCCAAAATGGGTTCAGTCCTGCTCTCTAGGTCAGGAGACAAAGTGCCTCTAACTGAACATGGCCTTGGGGTCTGTACCTATAATACATAGGAGAGGGCACTTGCCTTCTTATCTAATGCTAAGCCAGAGTCTCTAGACACCTCCAGAGGCAGGATAGTCTTGGTGGAAGGGAAGTCGGCATCGGTGAAAAGATGGATTCAAACACACCAGAGGCTTAGAGACGACCTTCAGGAGCCCAGCAATGGGCTCTTTACTCGAAGAGTGCACGCGTCTGCTGTGCTATCGATTCAGAAACCCGTCCCTGCCCTCACAGCGCAGAATCTCCTTTTCTCCCCGCCCTGAGCGCACCCCTAAGAGCCCTAGACCAGGAGTCCCCGGTCTGCCACGCACTGGCCGCAAGTCCTGGGGCAGGGCAACTTTGCGTCTCTAAGGCTCAAGAGTCTCATCTGTACAATGGGGACCATGATCTCTGTCCTCTGGAATGTTGTGAGGCCCAAGGGGATAAAGAGTGCGGAAGCGCTTTGTCAGAGGCCGAGCCCTGCCCCCCCCCCCCCCCCGGCCATTGGCACGATGACTAATTGCTTTCCCCATCTTGGCTTCTCCCCTCTGGGGACCCCGCTGGGTCTTCCTGCCCCGCTTCCCTAGGCCGGGGTCTTCCGGCCGTGGGGACTGCGGGGCAGAGCTTCCTCCTCTCTGTGGGGGTACCCGGGCTGTTCGCGAGCGCCCCGCGGCCAGGCTGCGTCCCCCAGGCCCGCACCCCCGTCCCTGGCCCCTCACCTCCATCGGTTGATCCCGACCGAGGAGGAGGCCGCGAACCAAGGGTCGAGGATGTAAACGCAGCGCACGCAGCGCGCCCCGCGCACGGCCGCCAGTAGCGCCGGGTTGTCGTGGAGCCGCAGCCCCTTGCGGAACCAGTGCACCGAGGAGGCGCCATCCGCTCCGGCCGCCGCCGCCGCCGCCGCCGCCGCCGCCGCCGCCGGAGCCGCCCCTGCCCCCGTCACCACCGCCGCCGCCGCCATCACCGCCGGGACTGCTGGGCCGCCGCTGCTCCGCCCCGTCTGCGCCGCGGGCCCCGCCCCCAGCCCGCCCAGTGACCTATGACGCCGCCGCTCCTCCCTGTGGCCCCGCCCCTCTGGCCCTGGAGCGCCTCTGCCATTGGCTGGGTGCCTTCCTCCTGGCGATTGGCCTAGCGGCGCCGAGGTCGGCCCCGCCCCATCACGTTCCCACCATGTGTCCGCCGGCGGGGGAGGAGCCGGCGGGCGGGGCGGGTGACGCAAGCTGGCCCTCCCTGCGGAGGTCTGGGCGTGCACCGAGTCTGGGGGCAGCGGATCTCTTACGCGCGTCCTGTTCAAGGCCTGCCGCTGGAAGAAACTGCCTGAGCTGGTGGGGCTTGCCAGTCCAGACAGTGACTTACAAGACTGACAACCGGCCGTCCTACAGCACCATGCTCCTCCTCCTCCTCCTCCTCCTCTGCCTCACCCTATTACATCATCTACAGCATTCTACTATTTGAGTGTATTTTATATGCCAAGCAACGTGATAATCTCCTTACATAGACTGTCTCATTTACTACTACACAACTCAGCCCAGTTGCGTTCATTCAAAAACTCCAGTGAAAGAGCTGTTTTATTCTCATTTTACAGACGAAGAAAACTTTGAGGCTGCCGTAGGTTGAGAGACTTGCTCAATATCATAAATCTAATAAGAGGACTCCACCCAGATTATTCTGATTCCAAATCTTCTGCTTTTATCCACAAAGCTACACTTCTATTTGCGCTGAGCAACTTGTCGTTTGCAAGTGGCAGAGTCTGAGAAGGGGGTGGAGTGCGCTGATGCGCAGCAGTAGATGGGCTGGGAGTAGGGACTGCGAATGTGGAGGACGTGGGTTGAGATAGTAATTATTCCATCAGATGAATTTCTTTTCTTTTAGTTCTATGTTTAGTAGATCCAGTGGTACCACTGTGCACAAAGCACTGTGGTGGATTCCGTCTTGGACTCAAAGATGTGGAGGACACTGTCCCCAATCCTCCCCTGGGGAATTGGGTGGAGGCTTCTTATTCTTCTGGAGTCTAGCACAGGTCTCGTGATTGACGGCCCCGCTGACTGAATGGCAGGAGAAGCATATGAACAACTGCAATGAAGTGACGGTGGGCTAAGATGGCCTAGGCAGGGTGGAGCTCTGCAGTTATCAAGTGAAGAGTCTGTTTCAATTTGGCCCTAGGTTGTGCCCATGCTCGGAACCCTTTCTGAACTTGGGAATGAGCAATGAAAGAATTTAGCAATTTAGTCAGCAATTTAGTGGCATTAATTGGCACCACTCTATAAATCAGAGCATCGTTGCGATCCTAGGATTTCTCATTTCCAGGACTTTGCCAAGTTGTTCCTTCAAGCCTGGATCACACTCCCCACCCCATCCACTTTCGAACTCCAGCTTGTCCTGTGTCACCGCTCAGTGCAGATGTCACTTCCTTGCTGTCTGGTCCAAGCCGGCATAGTGCCTCATCTCATTCCGTGCTGCTTCTTATCACTGGCCTTAGTACATTTACTGGAACTTCTTACTTGTCTGTCTGCCCCATTAGACTATAAACTCCTGGAGGGCAGGGGCCGTGGCTTACTTATAGTTGTATTTCCAGGATCTAGCTCAGTGCTTGGCACTCAATGCTTGAAGACATTTGAGTCAAAATTGAACAGGAACTAGAGTCTCAGGTTGACAGGAACCTTAAAGGTCTATCCCAGCGATGAAAATAATAAGAATAATAAGAAGTTTTCAGATATTGAGGTATATGAGGAAGCCATTCTGGTTTAAATTTGATTTGGCCCAAAACTTGTTTTTCCCAGAGCAGTCTGACTTATGGCCCACCAAACACGCATTGTACATCTGCTTCAAAGATTTTCCCAAAGCAACAAATGCACTCTTTAAAGAGGGGTGAATGTCTCCCTTTCTCTGATACCAGTACTTCCGTGAAGATTAGCTTTGTTTTTCCCCAGAGAACTAAGGTCAAGCTGACCTGCTATGTGTGTACTAAATTGAGGCAAAACATTTCCTTGTGACTTTGGAAAAAAACCACTGTATTCCTGTCATGCTTGATGTATGTTCTTTGTTCTGAACTCATATATAACCACGCTGTAAACCATGCTTCCCTGGAGTGCTTTCCTCCCTGGGGAAGAGAGCACTTCTGGGCTAGTCCTCACATTAGCTCATTAAATATCACTCTCTCTTTCTTATCTACAGATTGGTTATTGGTATCTGCATAGACACCAGTCCTGACCCTGGCTTTACTTTTGAATCCTCTCTCCAAATGCTTGCTGAACCAATAGATGCCACCTCTCGTTATTTTTCTTTTGGGACTTTGTGTTCCTCCCTCTCCTATCTCCTCTTCTCTCCACAAGGTGGATGCTCTGCTAGGAATGGAACAGAGGGTGTAAGAGATGGTTCTTCCCTACAGCCTCAAAGATGAGTAGTCTTCTCTTTTTCTCCTCTGAACTCCTATGATGCTTTCTTTATAGACTGTGAGCTCCATGAGGGCAGGGACTGTGCTTATCTTGCTCATTAGTGTCTTCTCAGTACTAGTTTGGTCCCCGACATGTAGTAGATGCTCAATCAATATTTGCTGAATGATTGAATGTTATTTATCTATTTCTGTCTTTTTAGGCTCTCATGAAAGGCAGTGTGGTATGGTGGTTAAGTCCAAGGGCTTGCACATTTGCAATGTCTGTGTTCAAATTCTGGTTCTGCTTTTACTCTGTGTGACCTTGGGTAAGCTAGTTGACCTCTCTGTTCCCCACTTTCTTCACCTATACGATAGGGATGATAATAGTAGCTAAGATACAGTAAGCATTTAATAAGCATCAGCTTATTATTATTCCATTATTCTAAACAGCAGGATCTGTGTCTGCTTTGGTCTTCCTTGCAACACCTCGCCCTGGGTCTTTCACATAATGAGTGCTCCATAAGTTGCTGAGTGAATAAAAGATTTTAATCAGTTAAAAAGTCCTCAAAATTATACCAGTAATGCAAAACAGAGAGAAGTAATCACCATCAACCCCCAAAACCAAACAAGTCAATTATTGTTTTTACCTTTATGTTGCCTTCTAGACTTTGTCCATAAGCGTCTTTTTATAGCTTTAATCAAGGCAGAAGTACAGTGTTTGCATGGCTTTTTAAATGAAATATTAAGCATGTTCTATATTGCTATGTCATTGCCTTTGTGATTGTTATTTTAATAACTATATAATCTTTCATCAGGTTGATAAAAAATGAGTTACTTTATTGAATGATTGCATATTGCTTGCGTATATTAACAGGGTAACATTCAAGAATCAGGAAATAAATCTGTCACGGGGTGGAATACTGGAGTGCAAAGTCCACTTTGGGACTTCACATTTCAAAAGGACATAGGGAAATTGGAGAGAGACCAAAGAAACCTGTAAATTGCTAAGAGGTAACATGTAATCGTGTACTGTTATAGCTTTGAGAGAAATGAGAACTGAGATTTGACCTTACAGCTCTACACGTCGTTATTTACAAGCATGTCTGAAGAGTTTGCCATGAGGATGCCAAACAGTTGCTCCTTGTTTCCACTAAGCGTAGAACAAAAGAATCCAGTTTACCCTAGGAAGAGTAAGAGATTCAAGGAGGGACTTAGTATAATAAAGTGGTTTGGGAATGAGACAAATTAGCCAGGTAGTGGGAAGTTTCTTTCTTCACTGAAGATATTTAAGAAAACTGAAATCAGTCCAGTTTTGTCTTTTTGCTGTAGTCCTGCTTGGAGACTGGATTAGGCAACTTTTTACATTGTCTTTGAACTGCGCTTTGGGTAAATATTTTATGATTGGTTGCAAGCCAACCAGGGGCGGGCGGGAGGGACGACCCTGGCGAGTTTAAGTTATCTGCGCCCTCTGGTGGTGGGTCTGGGAAAGACGCGGTGGCTCCGTTTGGGGCTGAGCCGGGAGCCCCAGAGCCCCACCCTCCTCTCTTTAGTTACGGGACATGCGCAGTGTGCGGCTGCGGCTTTCCTATTTCTGACTTCTCGTAGAGCCTGCTTTGAGATTTGTTGTTTGAACTATTAAGAGGGCATGGACCCAAAAGCCGGCTTCCTTGGGTTCTATTTCCAGCTCTGCCATTAACTAGTAAATTACTTGGGCAAGTTCCTTAGCCTCTCTGTCCCTCAGTTTCCTCATTTGTAAAATGGGGATGATGATGACGGGGATGATGATGATGGTAACGATGATACCAGTGCAGCGTGGAATTGGAGCAAGATAGACAAAAGTCTCAGAACTGAGAACCCAGAAACAGACCTTCACATATCTGGATATTTAATCATGACAGAGATGTCTTTGCAAAGAAGAAGGGTAAAGGTGGTTTTTCCTATAATGGAAATGGGTCAATCAGATATCCCAACATAAAAAAATGAAACTTGACAGCTATCTTGGGACATACACACAAATCAGTTTCAGGTAGATTATATAAAACAGTAGATGGTGGTCTAGTGGTTAAGATTCAGTGCTCTCACCTCTGCAGTACGGGTTCGCTTTCCATTCGGGGAACCACACCACCCGCCTGTCAGTTGTCACACTGTGGTGGCTGCATGTTGCTGGGATGCTGAAAGCTCTGCCACCAGTATTTCAAACACCAGCAGGGTCACCCATGGCAGACAGGTTTCAGCAGAGCTTCCAGACTAAGACAGACTAGGAAGAAGGACCTTGTCACCCACTTCTGAAAAAATTGGCCATGAAAACCCTACGAATAGCAGGGAAGATTGTCTGATAGAGTGCCAGAAGGTGAGAGGATGGCACAAAAAGACCGGGCAAGGTTCAGCTCTGCTGTACACAGCGTCACTAGGAGTCAGAATCAACTTGATGGTTGACTTGACAGCGGTAACAACAGAAAAAAAACAGTAAAGCTTTGAAAAGATTATATAGGAGAATATCCTTATGACCTTGGGGATAGATAAAGAATTCTTAAGTAAGACCTGGAAAGCACTAACCATAAAGGAAAAGATTGACAAATTCAGCTACATTGAAATTATGAACTGCT